CTGACACGGCGATGAAGAGCAGGGCCTCTGCAGATACACTCATCCATAAAGCATGTATAGGCACACAGCCAGACCTCCCTCTCTCTCTCTCCCTTTCTTTCTTTCTTTCTCTCTCTCTGTCTGTCTCTCTCTTTCCCTTTTTCCCATCGCACTATTGTGTCAGAGTGGGTGTCATGTTTGCCTTTACGCGAGCACCCGAAGGAGCAGCGTGTGTCAGGTTGTGATGTGTGGCGCAACGCGGTGCGACGCCGCCACCAGGGATCAGCCGATAGTGTGACCTTCCCCTCTGTGTACGGACACACTTTGTCTACATCAGATCGCAGCACAGATTCTTTCAAAGTGTCCGGGGACGAGGACGAATTTTGGAGAAAAATAAACCAAAAAATGCATATGTCTTTGGAAAAATATTCATGTGTGCTTTTTTTTGTTTGTTTCCATTTTCAACCTGAGATCAAGGATTTCAAACAATAGATATGTATACTAAGACTGGGTATCGCAGGATCACTCACGTTTCGATACGATTCACGATACATGGCTCACGATACTGTGCCGCTAACTAGAAGCATGCTCTGTCTGAAGCTGTTAGATTTTCTTTTTAATAATTAAGTTAAAGGTTAAGATTAATCGAAACTGTGAATACGAAGACTGCGTTACACAAATTTGGCAACAAAATTTGATTAAAATCACCATCTATCAATATTTTGGTACACGCATGTTGTATACAGACAGTGTTGGGAAGGTGACTTTTGAAATGTTTCCCCTACAGATTACAGATTACAAACCCCAAAATGTAGTTTGTAACGTAATCCATGAAATTACTTAAAGTGAGTAATGTAATCTGAATACTTTGGATTACTTGATTTGCTGAAGAGAACCAAAGACAAGGATATCATAACATAAGATCTTTTGTCTGCTAAAAGAAAATAAAAAGCCCAAACTTTACTTAACTGTATTAAAAATATTATTGATAGAAGAGGAGAAGGCACGTCCACCCAGCATGGTTTAGTCCTGTTAAAGCCTGTTTTAGTCCTGTTTTAGTCGTGATTTTAGACCTGGTTTAGACCTGGTTTAGACCTGTTTTTAGTCCTGTTTTAGTCCTGATTTAGTCCTAGTTTAGTCCTGGTTTAGACCTGGATTAGTTTCCGGGAATGAGTGGAATTACCGGGGAAATAAAAAAAGGCATATAGTCCAAAATGTGAAAACAGCAAAATACCACCTTGTAATCCATTTATTGCAACAAAGTCACTGTAATCCAATTACCACTCACTGAAACAGTAACTGTAACTGAATACAGTTACTCATAATTTGTACTCTGATTACGTAACTCCAGCACATGTAATCTGTTACTCCCCAACACTGTATACATATATACAGTGGTGGAATGTAACAAAGTAAAAATAGTTAAGTACAAGGGGTGTAATGATATCCAAGTCTCACGATACGATATCGTCACAGTACGAACCTCACAGTACGATATTTATTGCGATATCGTGTGAAAGCTCACGATATGGTGGAGAGGCTCACGATTAGGGATGTAACAATATCTAAATCTCCCGATATTTTCACAATATACATCTTATGGTACGATATTTATTGTGATATTGAATCCTGGTCTATGTAGTTCCCTCTGATCAGGATATTTCGGTTATTGTTACATCCCTATTAAGTACTGTACTTAAGTATATATTTGTGCTTTCTGTACTTTACTTGAGTATGTTTAAAGTGGATACTTTTTTTGAGAGCAGTATTTTTATGATAGTTTGGGACCTGCTGAAAAGGCTGAGGGGTTTATTTTTAACTAAAATATACAAAAAAGCCTCAAAAGACCTCAAAATCTGTGCAAAATACTTTTACTTTTTATTCTTTAAGTACAGTGTTAAACTGGTACTTTAAAGCTTTAACTTAAGTAGATTTTTTTTTTTTTTTTCATGTGATACTTTTACTTAAATAACAAAACTGAGTACTTCTTCCACCACTGCACACATAACATTCGTTTGGGAGGATGTATTTCCACATTGCACCAGACGCTCACATTAGACGTACAGTATTCTTCTATTCTATATACTGCAAATAGTCAAGAACACTATTGTGTGCAGAGACATCATCAACTCCAACAAGATTTAAGTCTGGACTATTTCCAAAATCTTGCCTCACCACAACACACAAACCCCACTCACACCGGCTCCTTTGAACCTCCTCCATTAGTTTTTCACACGTACACTTTTCTCTCATAGTATCTGAACATATTACTTCCTTTGTAACACTTTTGACTTCACACGTGCAAACTGCATTGGGCCCACGCACAATAAGAAAACACGGACGCCGCAGCCATTTCGCCTTTGGGTGGGCAGAGGAACAAAACAAGAGAGAGTGTATATAATGAATGTAGATACCAAACAAATGTTGCATGTATTTTACAGTATTGTTAATGTATAGAGCTAAAGGCTAAAAACACACAGCGGTGATATGAATGATGAATCACAAGGAGCAAGCCTGAGGTAAGGAATACGATTTGGTTTTTTTTTCTTTAACTTTAATTTCTGTAAAGACATTGCCTGTAAACAAAGCCCGTGGTTGTGTCAGGCAGGGCATCTGGCATAAAAAAAATAAAAAATAATATGAATTAATGCCTATAAAACCCTACCCACTGTAATACATTTAAGGAAAAAAAATCTACTCAGAGAAACGTCCTCAATATGCTGTTCAATTATTCAGAAACACTTTATAATGATTGCACCAATAAAGCATGAAAAAATCATTTAAGACTCGGTAAATTTTTGGTTGGGGGTCGGTCACCTGCTTGTTTCTATGGATACATCACTGCTCTGCCTGGAATATTCCACAGTACGACATTAAACAACTCACCTACAAAAACAGGCGTTCTGTTCTGGAGAGATCCCTCACATTTTGATACGGTTCACGATACATGGCTCACGATACTATAATATTGATAACGATACAGCGATACCTGCAGTATTAAAACTGTTGATAGTTTGCAGCTGATGTCATCAACTTTCCCTGTGGGTGTGACGCTAACTAGAGGCATGCTCTGTCTGAAGCTGTTAGCTGTTTTCATTTAATAATGAAGATGTGTGAAGAATCCCTCAGTCGTCCAGGTAAAGTCCATGAGGCGAAAAAGTTCAGTTTGTCGACTGGACAAAAGTTAGTTTGGTTGAAGACGTTTCGCAGCTCATCCAAACTGCTTCTTTTGTCCAGAAAACCAACTGAATTTTTTCTTCTTATTTAATAATTAAGTTAAAGGTCAGATTATTCATTAAACTGTGAATATGATGACTGCATTACACAGATATGTTTACTTTTTCTAAATTTGCAACAACAAAAAAAAGTATTACCGCTAGTCTATCAATATTTTGGTATGTGCATATTGTATACATACAGTATATACAGTATATAAAGGTAAAGTAGTAAAGTACTGTACTTAAGTATACATTTTTGGTCCAGAGGTGTTCATTTTGTCTTCTTATGTACTTTAACTTCTTGGGTTCTTCTTAAAGACAATACAGTAAAGTGTATTTACCTTGTTGACATGTCATACATTTTTGGTATTTGTACTTTACTTGAGTACATTTAAAGTGGGTACTTTTAACTTTTACTTCACTATATTAGATTTGAGAGCAGTATTTTTATGATCATTTGCTGAAAAGGCTGAGGGGTTTATTTTTTAACATATTTGTAGTTCGAGCAAACTAAAATATACAAATAAAAACAACTAAGAAAACAAAACAATACATTTTTATAAGAAATCTAATTCTGCGCAAAATACTTTTACTTTGAATGTGATGTTAATACCGAACAAACTGACGTTGCCTCTCCACAGATCTAACCTGTAACCTGTAGGTCTGGTTTGGTTTCCGTGATGATAAAAAGGTTTAATGTCATACTGTGAAACATTTCAGACAAAGCAATAACATCCGTATGGAGACAAGCATCTGACGGACCGTCCACCAGAAAAGTTACACAATGCACCTTTACGTAGTTACTAAGCCTGAATCATTCTTAATAAACTATTCGTTCATACTTAATATAAATATAAAGAACCTGTAAACATCCACTCCATCATATTTTTCATCCTGACCTTGCCATAGCCACATCCTGTTTTCCATTTTACTTAAACTTGGTCATCTCCGCCCCATTGACCCTGCATTATTTATCGAGGTACCAGGTAACAGTTTGGATGCCTACCCTGGGGTGTCTTTGACAATATTACACTCTCTCCACTTCCAGAGGGTCCGCGCAGTTAACCTCTCCACGCTTCCCCGGAGACGCGCGCTTGGGCCGGGCACGGTCTGACCCGATCTCCCCTTTCAACACCGCAGCCATTAGCTCCCTCCTCTCTATCAGCGTCCTCTGGGTGAGGTACAGGAGGGGAGAGGGGTGAAGACGGATGGAGCGATGAAAAACACGGTGAGGAGACGCTAGGGACGGTGTGCAAAAACGCCGTAATGGAAGCCTGATGGATGTGACAACAACGGACAGTTTCATAAGTGAGGGGAACAGTGTGATGTTATGTGGCGCTTAAGTTTCTCAAAACGCTATCAATTGCAATCAGTTGGAAGATAAACAAAAATAATGTAGTTGACAGCTATTATTATCCCAATTAAACTAAAAAATAAACAAAACTGAAGGTGCTACATTACGCAAACTTGACTTTTGTGAGCTTTAAGTCATGTTAGAATGTTGTTACGTCATCAAAAACAGACCTGGAGTTGTGTTTTGTTTCATTCACACATGTTTGACTAATCCTTTATTATTTCTTTGATTGATTAATTTATTTCGGTCACAGGTCTATTCTGACATTATTCCAAATTTAACATACACTGATCGAAAAGCTTGAGCTTATTGTGCCAACACTTTATTCCTTTGTCATAGCATCACCTTGACAGTTCATCTTCATAAATACAGCAAGAGAAAACAAACAAATCAGTAACAGTACAACAAAGTACTACAGAACAAACTGAGTATCATAATTCATGTATCTGCCCAGAGTTAAACATTTAAAGAGAGTGATGCACAATTTTCTGTTCTTTCTTCTGTACAATTGTTCCAGAGGTCCACCCCTGTAACAGATTTACAAAATGTCATAATATTTGTTCTGATTTTCTTTTTAATAAACATGTCCGTACCTCTGAGCTCATATTGGCCACTTTGGATTTTGAACATATTCTGTAATGATTTTGACAAGAGACTGATGATGATATTCAAAGTGTAAAGGTCGACTAAATCATAAAACTTCAGGGTTTGAAGGTTTATAAATGACACATTTGTTGGCTCATTCTAAGCTGATAATGTGATTGCTCTTATTTCCTTTTTTGCAAGGTGAAGATTGGATTTGTAGTAGTTTGTATATGTATTGCCCCAAATCTCAATACAGTAGGTTTTGTAGGACATTACCAGCCAGTTTATTTAGGATATATCTATATTTATATATAAGTGTGATTACTTTGGATCATTTATTTCAAATTTTATTTATGTGTGATTTTAAATGATGGTCTATAGTTACTCCTAAAACTTGTTTTCAAAGACTCTTTCTAGTGGTGTATTTTTGAGCATCGTTTTCACAGTAATTTTCATAGTTTTCAAGTTAACAGCTACCTTTTTGCTTTTAGTACAGTAGAGACTGGCAATTCCAGGTCTGAAATGATCCAAATGATTCTAGTGAACATGCATGGATTTTAAAAACACAATGGAGTACTTCCTGTATTACTACAAGACAATAAAAGGTGGAACAGAGTGTTTTCCATTTGAGAGAACTGCAGAGTTTCTGTGTCAAACTAAACACAACTCCAAGTTTGTTTTTGACGAGGAAACAACATTATAACAGAGGTGAAAAAATAGCGTAAGATGGGTACGATACCAAAATTTCAAGTCTCGATACTAGACAGAGCACTTGATAATGATTTCAATGCCACAGTGATAGATAATATACAACTGAAATGAACTTTTAAGACAAAATAATCATATCTTCTTTATCGGGTGTAACGATATCCAAGTCTCACGATACGATATCGTCATGGTATGAACCTCATGGAATGATATTTATTGCGATATCGTGGGAAAGCTCACAATATCCAAATCTCTTGGTACGATATTTTCACGATATACACCTCACGGTACAATATTTATTGCGATATTTTGTGGAGGCGAAAAAACTGTGAATATGCGACTTTTTCCTCTTAAAATGCCTTGACAAGACTTAATCCAAAGAAGTAAGACTTAAAAGTGCTTAGAACTGCTATTTCTTCATGTAGTTTGCACCAAAACAAAGCAAAGGATCATGGTCGATGTAGTTCCCTCTGTCTTTTTAGCTTTTGCTGCACCATAACTCTTAATTTAAGTAAAGAAACTTGTGATTTGATTCGATATTGTGATGGCCCACGATATTATTGAGAGACTTTTGACAGTACGATATCACAATATTTTGAGACAAATCAACCAAAACTACTCTGAAAAGGTTCAACTTGAGTATATAGTTTAGATATTAACTTCACAATCAAGAAATTTCGATTGTTTTGACATTCTTATGAAAGCAACAACACAAGAACGCTTCACCCCAAGTCACAACCAATATTTTGTCAAATTTTTCCAGGAGTATCTTGCAACAGCCCATCACCGCTACTACCACAGGGCCCCAAATGAGAAATCCTCCGTGTGTCCTCCTTTTGAAATAAGTTCTGCACACCACCGAACCTTCACAATAGCCCCCGCTCATTTTCACACACTGACTTCACGTCCAGCCACCTTCGCAGCAGAGCACCGCGACGGAACCAGCGGGACTCCAAAGGGACAGACCCCTCACAAGCCTCTCCTCGCGGCTACAAGGGCCCGTGCCAATGGGGGCCTTTTGATCAGAATATGCAAGCGTCGGGGAGAGCGTTTGAAGGTTGACCAAGATCCAATTGAAAATGCCCCGCTCGTGTTTCTGTGTTCCCTCTGGTCTCCCTCTTGGTTTTGGATGCGGTGCCAGTGACTGAACCCAAAAACCAGAGAGGGGATTTGCAAAGTGAAAACTGCTGAATGAAGCTGCAGCGAGTGAAGCAACGCAATGAGTGTGCAATGTACAGTCTGGAGGAGGTGAGGTAAGAGGTGAACCAGAGGTGAGTTTTGAACAGGAAATTTGTCTTGTAAACAGCTATAATTTGAATCCAACTTTAATTTTGTCTTGATGAGTGAATGATGGATTAAATAAACCAAATATGTGATACTATGAAAAATACAGGAAGGAGTGAGGGTCTGTTTACACGAGAACGCTTTGTGGGTAAAAATGACAAAATATTTTATCAGAAGTGCCTTTTGTTTAGACCACAGGTGTCAAACATAAGGCCCGGGGGCCAGATCCGGCCCCCCAAGACCTTTAATGTGGCCCTTGGGTGATTTTCTACTAAAAATATTTTAATTATATTTTCTATTAAAATATTGGTAATTTTCTGCGGTGCTTAGCATAGCAGCGTCTCCAGCATCTCTGTACGTGGCCCCTCCCACCAGAGCAGCACAAATGAAGACTTGTCTCTTTTCAAACGCTCTTAAAGGACGATCGTTTTGACTTTTGACCGTGACACCCTCATCAGAAAAATGTCAAAAATGAGAAAAGTGGAGCCGAGTGCAGGATTTTCCAAGAAAAATTGACTTACTCCTATTTGCATACAAGTTCATGTTAAAACATTGTGTTGAAATTGAATTTTTCTTAAAGTTTCAGACTGTTCATAATATTATAATATTATAATAAGAAAGAGTTCATCAATTAAAAAAAGATTTCTGTAATAGATTTGCGTTTCTCTGCACAAATATTTGAACTTACTGTTATTTTGGGGGTTTATATGCCATGAGTTTTCTGATCCGGCCCCTTTGGGATCAAAGTGGGTTGGATACGGCCCCCGGACCAAAATGAGTTTGACACCCCTGGTTTAGACGGTGATGATGTTTTGGGGGCTTAAAAATGCAAAATTCTGAAACCACCCTCCACCCCAAGAGTGGAAAATCTGAATACGCTCCACTGTAACGTGTCCGTCTACATTGCCCAAAACGCAAAACTCTGGTCAGATCTGCTCACGTTGCATATACTTTTACGTGACGTAAACATACATACAGTACACAGAAACAAATGTCGGATCATTTCCATGCGTTGGACCTTCAAGTTGGTCTGGCAGCTCTAATAAACTTACAGAAGGCTCCCAACAAATGTATAGAATCTGCAGAGATACTATTAGTGCACAGAGAAGGATCTGCAATCACCTCTGTCAAATTCTGGACGCACCAGTTCGTCGCAGAGAACCAGTCGACAACTTTGTGGAAGGAGTATCTGATGAAATTGCATGATGTAAACACTTCCGTATGTCCAAAGATGCCCTTTTTGCTTTTAGTAAAAGCATTCCCAATCAAATTCCACACACTTTTGCGTCACTGTATGCACGCAGATTTCCTCCCGAAAACACTCGTCTAGACGCGGAATAAAAAGTGAAGACGAACTCTACTTTTGTGCCTTCTATTCAAACCGTCATCATATAAACTTAGTCTTAGTCATGATTACGCTTATACAAAATGGTATTCAAATTGGCCATTCAAAAAATGAACTGGTAGGAGTGGGGATTGAACCACTAACCTTTGGGTCAGTGGGTGAATGAACTTGAACACCAGTTCTGATGATGCAGGCTTTATTCACAGAACTCTGTATGACTGGGGTGTAACTGTATACTTGTTTAATGATGTGGTTCTCTTGGCCCCAGAAAAGTTGCAATGAAACTTAAATTAGAATTTAGTAGCGGTGACTGATCTCACTTCAAATCTCAACAACTCAACTACAGCCAACTTAATATAGATTTTATAATTTCAGCTTTCTACCACATTATTATATTCCCTGATCTAAAACATGCCTGCACGGGTTTTAGAAGCCATTCATTCATGCATGTTTGAGTAATTTAGAGATCTGTTTCGGGCCCTATCCAAGCGTCTTCATATTCTCCATAAATATACGATGCAAAACTGAACAAATCAACTTCACAAACTTGATGCGATGTTCGTAGGCTGACCAGATGAGCCCTGTGTCCCCTGTCCAAGCAGATTTATCAAAAAACAGTGATTTGTCCCAGTTTTATGCAAGAAATGTCTCAGGTGTCCCTATTTTTGACCAATTTGTTCACTGCCAACAGCAAAGGGAGGCATACATTGTAATTTGTTTAGATAAAATACAGAAAAGCTGCTTAAAAATGACCAAAACAAGAAGAAAATGTGACTATACTGACTGACATGTTAGTTATAAATGGTCTCTGGAGAACAATTTTCCTTAATTACACACTTGTTTCACAAAACCACCAAAAACCGGGGATGTCCCAGTTTTTTATTTTGAAATTCTGCTGATTGTGTTTCGAAACAAAAAATCCAACACGGTGATCTAAATGTGTTACGTTCAAGCCGTTAATACCCCACAGAAGCGTAATCCTCTGTTTTTAAGATTGACCTGGACTGAAATGGCACCTCGGTTTCACAGTTTATATTTCTGTTATGGAAGAAAAAGGGCAGAACTAGCATTTCTCTCAACAGGCCTCGTTCGGAGCAAAAACGAACAGCGCGGTAAATGCGTGATCAATGTTATTCTGGAAGGAAATAGCTCCTTACAGAAGCAAAACACTGAGAGGGGTCATTTGCGGAGTGACTGATTCGCCCTCTGCTTGTCTCCACATATTTGTACAACATTACCTTAGCTTGTTTTTCCTTGACGAATGTTTTCTGTTGTAATGGCTCCAGCTGTTAACTATTACCTGCAAGCAGACTTTTCTTTCACATTTCCAGCTATTTCCAACCACAGCCTTGAGGGAGTGTTTTGTAAAGATGTAAGGATGTGTGGAGGAACATGCATACTGGAGCTTGCCAACACCAATATGGGACATTTTGGGTCGTTTTTGGTAGGTTTTTTTGACATGTTTAATTTGGCAGAACACGCGGTAGCCGACGTTGGAGGGAATTCGCCCAGAATACAGAGAGGAGCTTTGCCCGCCCTGACACTTGACGATAGGATTAAGTGAAAGTGTACACCTACACCTTGGCCAAAGATAGAAAAACGCCA